GGCCTGGCACACCTCCACATGCAAGCGTCTTCACAGAACAAACGTGAACTGACATCAACTCTTAGCATGTGACAAGCAGGTGCTGAGCTGTTAGATAATATTTTACTTTTTAAAAATGCTGGTGGGTATACTATTTTTACACACTTTTGAAAAATTCTCCTAAGAAAGTTTAAAAAACATTGCTGGAATGGACTCATGAATGGTTGCCACCTGCGTTTGAAAAGCCCTGCTTTCAAATGCATACACCTGCCAGACCGCTGTCCTGGCTCAGCCTGGCTCCTGCTAGTTCCCAGGCACGGTCCCGAGAGCCAGGGTCCCGGCCACGAGCCTTGTGCTTCCTCATGTGCGAAACGGAGGATGCTGGGAGCCTGGCCGTGTTGCAGAGAAAACAACCAGTGACATATGGAAAGCCTAGCAGGCCCGCAGTAAATGGCAGCTATCTGTTCTTTAATTAGTACTGATGGTGAATCTTGGAAAATAAAGGCTTCTGGGCAACTAGGTTCCAGTTCAATCGTCACAGAGAAAGCCCACGAATGCACAGACATACCTCAGGTGACAGAAGTGTGGGATCTGACATCCCAGAACACTCCTCCTGTCTGAGCCATCCTGTGGCTTCTGGGGACCTCCCCCTGCCTCCTGAAGTGGCCTGAAGCTGCCGGCAGGTTCAACTGATCCCCACGCCCGACTCCTGGGCTCGCAGGGCTCCACGGAGAAGCTGCTCTGGACAAGGGCTCTTGAACGCGTGGCCGAAGCTGCCTGCACTCCGTGTGCCGGCCAGGCACGTGGACCTCCGGAGCCACCTTCAATCCCAGAATCCTAATTGCCAGGCCCAGCGCCCGCGCTGCCTTTTAACAAGCTCCTGCGCCTTCTTAGGCACTCGGAGGCCGCTGACTACATCTTCGAGGGGGCTCCCCGCTCCTGGTGTGGCTTCAGGAATGCAGAGATGGGGCCGAGAGCCAATGTCCCTGCCAGGAAACAGCCTGGTGAGCTGTCGTCATGGACGGAGAGAGGCAGAGGTCCTCCCTGAGGCTGAGAGAGCGGGTGCTTCCATTTACTGAGCTGTCTGACAGTGGGGGCTGGAGCTGGCTGCCCCAGCTCCGGAAGTGTGCGAGTGGTTGTCAAAACAGCCACTGTTAAACATTAACTTACGTGCACTTACAATGAAAGAAATTAAAGACAAAGGCAATCAGTACTCCATACTGTCACTTCCTGATTACTGTGTATGTCTTAGTATGATCTATGCTCTTGTAGTAATCACTCTGTGCATCCACACGGGGCCATGCTAGGTAACGGCGGGCCGCTGTGAATCCCACCCAGGCTCACATCCAGGACGCCATTCGGTAACTTGTAAAAGGCCATGGCGAGAGCACGTACACCTTGGGGACCAGCCGGCAGTACACGGCGGGCTCGGTTCATTATTCTCTTGACGGACTTAAGTGATGGAGAAAATGCTAATTACGCGGGTGAAACTCAACAGCGTGTTGTGTCCATAGCTGTAGCTTCATGAAAAGCACAAACAATGGAGGAATGTTCTTCCAGTGTTCAAAAAGCATCACTGGATGGAGGAAAGCCGGTCCCATCACCGAAGGAGTGAAGTTTGGACATAAATCTTCCTTGTTTCGCTTAGTTCACTTTTGTTCTACTCTTTAAACTAAATGAAAACATCACACTACATTTTTTGGAACTATCCTCATTTGTCAAGTGCAACTGTAGGTTGGCTACTGAGTTTGGCAAACATCACAGAAATTCGGTGAGAATCAACGGGGCACCTGGAACGTAGAGAGCCGTTATTTTTTCTGTGAAAAGGTGTGCTCCGTTGCTTTTCTCTCAGCGTCGCTACCGAGCTGATGCATGGGTGTGTTTGCACACGTGTCCCCTGGAGGGGTGGCTGTTAAACATTGACGGCACACGGCTGCTCCCAGCACATACAAACTGACAAAACACGGTGCGGCTTTAAAGCTGAGGGGCGTGTCCTCCTTCCTGTCCTGTGGTCCTCTCTCCGTATAAACGCAGTTGAAAATAATGTCGTACGTTGACACTCAGGCCCTCTGTGAGTGTGAGCGGCAGGCCCGAGGGAAGGCAGTCTGCCAGGCACCTGGTGGGATTGGGGCTTTGAGCCCCAGACCAGCAGGACTGGTTGTTGCTGATGCTACACCCACCCGTGCACGGCAGCGGCGCTGTCGCCCTCTGCGGACACGCACGGCATCTCTGGGACTCGTTTTTGTGGTTTCCTAACTCCCCTTCGTGCACCGATCCCGGTTTCCGCTGGGGGTGGGTGGCCGCAGAGGCTGTGGTGACCAGGACTCGGGCCCGTGCAGCGGCTGGACTTCACCCTCTGTCGTCGCAGGGCTTTCTCCCTAGCCAGTAGGTAACGTGTGCTTTTCAGGCGGTGGTGGCCACCGGCAAATCCCACGGGAGACGGAATGGCCTAGTCCTCCTCCTCGTCGTAGATGGGAAGACCCAAGCCCAGAGGGCAAGAATCTGCCCCAAACCACCCAGCCAATCGACCCCAGAGCCAGCCCCAGGACTCGGCGCCAGCTGGCAGATGGTGGCTTCCCCCATAGCCCCTGCTCCCTTTCGCCCCCATCCCGGCCTGCCTGTGCCCAGAAAACAAGGGAGGCTGGGAGGGGTCCCTCCAGGCCTGTGAGCGGAGCTGCCCTCCCGCCCTCAGCGCTGGCTCAGCCGCTTTACCTGCTCCTATCACCACCGCATCGTACTCTGGCTTCAGGCGCCCCGCGGCCTCCCAGTGGGCTGGTCTCCGAGGAGGACAGGGACGGGCGCTCAGGGCCCGGTGGAGACCTCGGCCGCTCGCAGCCATGTCTGCTCAGCACTCTCGGTAATTTGCTTGCGGTCAGCTTTTGGTGTCTCCTCAGGGGCGGGAGCCAGGAGAGCAGAGTGGGGAGAGAGGAGGAGCTGCAGGCCCGTTGCCACACCTGGCCTGGGGCCAGGACTAAAGGGAAGCTGAGCTGCACGAGCCCTCCCCCTCCGAGTCCACCGGGGCAGCGTCGTGGAGGTGCCTGTACAGCCAGCAGAGCGCTCGCAGCCTCCGGAGGGTAACCTCCGTGTTGGTGGTCCTCCAGGCTCCCGTGAGCCAGGCTGTGCTGCCCAGTCCTGGAGCCCCTCACGTAGGCCCCAGCCCTTCCCTTACAGCCCAGGCACTGAGGCTCAGAGAAGGTGTGAGGCCTCTGTGCTGTCCTGCTTCTCAGGCAGGAATGGCCTGTCTGGCAGGTGCTGGACAGACTCACTCGGGTTTGACAGCCTCTCACTCCGACCTGCCGGCCTGTGGGGTAGCAAACCCCTCTGGAGCCGCTGGCCCATCACACCCTTCCACGGCCCTGCCCCGGCCTCAGCAGCACTGCAGGGAGGGGCCGCTCCTGCGCGGCGCCCTCTTCTCAATGCTCAACAGGCCGTGTCGGGCGCTTGGGGGCCAGTTCACTCGTCCGTAATTGCTGGGTTTACCTTTTCCTCTTGAAGGCCTGGACATCTCCCTTGTCTTTTGGCTCCTTCCCCAAGAACCCCCAGGGAATAAAGGCCACATCTGCCAATGCCACTGGCTGATGTGCCTTATTACCACCCTCCGGCCTGTCTTGAATTGGGTGCCCGTTGGTCTCTGGCCTCCTTAGCGGGTTCCACGCCTTGTAGGAAGCACCAACCCAGGAGCCGGGAGGGTCTGTACTGCTCTGACAGGTCCCCGTAGCCTGATGCCAGAAAAAACTCCCCTCACAATCGGGAGAATGTGTGGGAAAGTGCCCCAAGGGGTGGGCATCTTCTGGGGACCCTTGTCCTCACAGAACCCCTCACAGGCACAGCCCCTGCATCCCCTGCGAGGCTCTGCCGAAACCCCAGGATGCTTCCCTGCCGCAGACAGAGGGCGTTGGGGGAGGACTGGTTAGACTGAATGTCACAGCGCGCAGTGGCTAAAATTTAAGGGGGATATTAGGTGACGAAAGTGGGGGCCTTAAAGTCACGGGATGGGAGGGGGCTTCCAGACTGTTTCCCCTTGTGCTCTTCTGTTTTCCACAATCAGTGTTTTGAATGTCCGTTCACGAAGGCACAGGAAGGACCGCAGTCCATTCCCGCTCTGTTCCTCCCTACCCCCTTCTGAGCACCTTGACCCGCCTGGGCATGAGTCCTGGCTCCAGACTGCACTCTCATGAGGGGGCTTCGGTCTGCGGAACCCGCTGTGCGCTGGGCACCGACCTCTGCAGCTCCTTCCAGGTCTTCCGCCCCACGGGGTGGGAGCTTCTGGGTTGGAGGCTGCACCCCTGGGCATTGGTTCTCAAACCTGGGCCCACCAGGATCGCCTGGGAGCTCTGACAAGCCTCCAGGCCTGGGGGCCCTGGATCTCTGGGTGGGGCTAGGGCAGGAGCAGGAGCCCTGTGGACACCCAGTGGCCAGGACCTGCCAGGGTTTCTAGGCATCAAGAAGGCCCAGGGGCCAGGCGCGTTCGCGTGGACAGGACCAATGACCGCAACCAGCATTTATTGAGCTCCTCTCGTGCCCAGCAGCCCTCACACACACCCTGAAAGGGAGGGCTGTTGCCCACACGTGGGGAGCCCGCTCAGAGCTGCCGAGAGGAAGTGGCAGAGCTGGAACCCAGCCAGGGAGCACCTGTCATCTGGGGAGGGAAAGAGCTTCCCCAGGGAGCTCTCCCCGCCCCGGAAGGAGGCGGAGGATAGGCGTCCTCAGACACGCTGTCTCCTGAGATACACGGGGGGGCAGCTCTGACCTGCAGCCACTGCTGTAGTAGGGACAAAGGAACCTCCTGATCCCATCTTCCTCCAGACGGAAGCTCCTGCCTGGCCTGGAGGCTGCTTTAGCTGTGGTTTTGTAAAGAAATCCCGGGGTGGGGTGGGGGTAGGGAGAGGGGAACAGAGGAAAACAAACAAAAGAAAGAAAAGAAACCCTGGAGCTGCCCTGGGCCCGTCCGTCCTCAGGTGGACCAGGCTCTGTGGTGAGAGGAGGTGGGTGGGGTGGAGGACCAGGTGCACTGCGGCTGCCTAGAGCAGGGGGACCTGGGAGGACTCCCACAGGCGCTGGGCCAGCTCGCCCGCCTGCTGCACCAGCACGTCTACGGGGATGACTGACAGGTGCAGGGCCAGCAGCTCGTGGCACTTGACGACCTCGGCCGGGTGGTCCTTGCTGTAGTAGCGCAGGAGCTTCCTGTGGGGGGAGGGAGGGAGAGTGGGACAGGATTCAGAAGCAGCCACGGCACTCCCCCCACCGCCCCGATCCTCCCCCGGAGCCAGGGGCTCTTTGGCACCTTGCAGACAGTCCCCTCACCAGTGCCAGCACCAGGCCAGCAGGTTTTCCCTTGCTGACCTCACCGTGTGAGGCCAGCCCCAGCCTGCCCTCAGTCCATCCCTCCAGTTCCCCATCCTGGGTGGGGCCTGCTGACGGCGGCATCCTAATTAGAGCCCCAGCCCAGCTGTTTGCAAAGGCTGCCAAGAGGGTGACAACAGCAAGATGGGCAGAAACCCTAATGTTTCCCACTCCCCTTCTCATCGTGAGGAGCCTCCAACAAGGGTCTAGGGGTTCCCGGGGAGCGGGGGCACCTTGAGGTAGAAGCTGCTCCCCCATCTGGGAACGGCTACCTATCACCCAACCTCTGTGCGCCCGCGGCCCCAGCAGGGAGCACACATCTGTCACCTGTAGTAGTCTCCTCCCAGCATGCCCACGGGCGCCGCGTCATCGGAGAGGACAGGCACCTCGGTTATCTGGAGTTTGTGCCCCTAGGGAGGAGGAAGGTCTGGCTCAGAGCGGCGGAGGGTGTGGTGGGAGGAACGTGTGGGACAGACACACCGGGCTCAGCCCTGCCGGGTGTGTGCCTGGTGCTGGGAAGACCCGGACCTCTTGGTACTGTTCCCATCTGTGAATGGGGATATAAAAGCCCCAACGAGCAGCAGAGACGATGGGTATGAAGTTACGAGCATCATGCCTGGCACATGAGGAGCTGGGTCACATGTCAGGAGGCCACTGGGAGGTGCCCTGGGCGATGCCACAAAGAGCAAAGCATTCCCAAAGGCCCGTCTCTGACAGCACCGGGGACTCTCAGGGTCGTACGGGGAGGGGGCGGGAATCGAGGTCCACTGGGCGCCCATGTGTGCCAGGCCCAGGCACGGGGCCTGCCCAGCACTGAGGAGGTACACTTGGCCGGACTTCACAGTAGGCCTCCTCCCCCTCGGCTTTACCTTAGCCCCGTGGTCGGCAAACCGCGGCTCGAAAGCCACATGCAGCTCTTTGGCCCCTGGAGTGTGGCTCTTCCACAAAATACCATGGTCTGGGTGAGTCTATTTTGAAGAAGTGGCGATAGAACACTCAAGGGGCCAAAGAGCCGCATGTGGCTTGCGAGCAGCAGTTTGGTCATACACACAAGGGAGGTTCTGAGACACAGAGAAGATGGGAGCCTGCAGGCCAAAAGAGCCGAGCCTGGGCCCTGGCGTCATCACCTATGGCCTCAGTGACCAGCCGTGGGGCTTGATCTCCAGATCATGAGTTTCTCCAGTGCAGACTGGGTCAACGGTGCCGGCCTCAGCCATCGCACAGGGCTGAGCGGCTGTGAGAACGGTGGTGAGACACTCCGACAACTTCCCTGAGAAAAGGGACGGGCCACCGCCTCAGGGTCGCCTCTCGCCAAGAGCAGAGAGAGGGTAGGGGACGAGGGGACAGGGGACAAGGGGGACAGGAGACCAGGGACCGAGGGCATGTGGGGGGAGAAGAAATGGCCTTTAGGAAGCTGGGATAATGATTAGCGGTGACAAATGAGGAGAAAACAAAGAGAAACAGAAAAGGAAAAAGTCGGGGAGAGAAGGAGAACTAGAGGGGGAGAAAGGGAGACTTAAAGAGGAAGACATGGGGACAGCAGAGACAACCACCTTCCAGCCATGTCCGCACACTGCAGTCACAGTGAGGTCTAGAGAACCAGCCAAGAGGCAAGAGACCCAAGCTATACTGTCAGCTGTGCCGTGGGCAGGCTGGCTCGTTGCTTTGAGCCTCAGTTTATACACCTGTACAATGGGAACAGTGGTGTGTACGTGCAGTGGGTGATGCTGGGGCATCACCGAGGACGCACATGATCTAAGCGGCCTCTCTCACGTGGGGCATGCGTCCCTCTGTTCGTACGTCACCTGAAGGTACCAAACACTGCCTTGAACAGTGGCTGGGCGGAGGGCCGCAGAGCCGGTGGGAAAGGGACCTCGGGGATCTGGGTCTCAATCAGCTGTGCTCATCTGTGAGCTCCAGCGGGGACAAGGAGGATGAAGGGACAGCCTGCACACGGTCCAGAGAGAGGAACGGGAGTCCCCGGCGAGGAGAGCCGCACCCACCGTCTCGTTCTGGAACCACAGGAAGTAGGAGCAGAAGAAGTCGCCCTCCCGGAACAGCAGCGTGGTGTAGCCCTTCTGCAGGTATCTGCGCGCCCGCAGGATCAGAGACCACACCTGCGGGGAGAGGAGGGCAGCGCTGGCACCACGGACAGCGGGCAGCCTCGGTGGCCCTCTCCCCGCGGCAGGGGCAGGGGCAGGGGCAGAGCGCCGGGGGCAGGCAGTACCCGGAGGAGAAGGAGCTCTACTGCTCTTCTCGCCCTGGTGCCCAGGCGCAGCCCGGCTCGGAGCAGGAGCTCAGTAACAGATTCCCGCTGGCTGGGCTACCCCTCCAGCTCCCGTGACGATAAAATAGATGCGAAAGCACTTTATATCCTGTTACCAGACACTCCGGCTATAAATGAGTAAATGCACCATTCAGGCCAAAGACAACGTCAACACAGGAGGAGACCACCAAGGGGTGGCCTCCTGGAACCCCTCCTGCCGTCTAGGGCTGCCCCTCCCGGGGCCTCTCCCCGGCTGGGAGCCTCTGACGTGGGTTCTAGGCCGGGAAGGTGTTGGTGAGGTGTTTGAGCTCGCAGGGCACCCTGACCCAGCACCTCTGCTCCGGGGGCCGGGTCCTAAGGAGGCCCACCAAGGGGTCTGATGGGAATGTGCCCGCGGACTACGTAACGTAGGTCCCCCACGTTCTCTGGCCTCATTCCAGGACTTCCTGACGCTGCTGTGAGCTGAGGGGCGGCGGCGGGGACAGCCGGGGCTGGGGGAAGGCCCGATGGGCCCTCTCACTGAAAACCTGAGTGGAAGGCACCCGGGATCCACTCCGAACCTGGCCACAACGCAATGTCTAATTAAATCTGCAAACAGACGCACGGATTTGCTGTGTTTTCAGGAAAGCAGCTTGACAACATGTATCAATAACCTTAAAAACATCCCTCCCGCTTGACTTAGTCATTCCATTTCTGGGAATCCACGGCGCGAAAGTAATCAGAGGTGAGGACAAAGACGGATGCACACAGGTGTGCGCCGCGGAATTATTTATAGCTGCGAAAGCCTGGAACAATCTCCATGCTCGGCACCGGGGAAATGGCTAAGTAAATTATGTTACACTCCCGTGATGGACTGTTGTGGAGCTGTTAAAAATCATGTTTATAAAGAATTAATGACATGCGGAAATGCACCGGCATAAAAGTGAAAATGTGGTAAACACAATTGCACAGACAGAAAGCGCTCAACTACATCAAACTGCACAGGAAAACAAGGAAATAAATGTACCATGAGAGCCCGACTATCTCTGGAGAGAGGGATGGAGATGGAGAAGATGATGATGGTGGTACCAGCAAATACGCAGTCAGTTCTCTCTGTTGTGTTGCATACGGTGCTGAGTCCTGTATGTGCATCTATAATATGTGTTAATAGTGCCACCATCCTCTTTCACAAAACGAGGAAACAGAACGTAGGCTAAGCAGCACCCCAGCCACACGGTGGGAACCGGGTTTCCGCACAGGCCCCCCGACGCCCATCCGCTCTGAGCCTTTCGGCCACACTGTACTTGGGCGGAAAAGTGGGTGTGTCTCTGTGTGCACATCGTGTAGAAGGTGACCGAGGTCATCCCTTCTCCCGACTCTAAGTATGAGATGCCATGAAGAAGAGTCAGTTAAAGAGAATGAAAGAATCCCCAGAGAATGTTTCCTTAGCAGAAACCGTCTAGCTTTAAGTCTGATAGTCAGGTTGGCTAAGCTGTGTTTCTTCTTTGTTTTGTTTAACTCAACAAACAGTACTTACTGGACACTTATTAATGCTAGCCCCCGGGGCCGGCCCTGGCCACTTCTCCCCCTGACCTCTGTTTAATCCAGGACATTAGCCAACACCCAGGAAGGTGCCCCCTGCACTGAGCAAGGCTGATCAGGGCCCGGGGGTGACAGACAAGCTGCTATGAGGTGCCTGCGGGGTTAGAGTAGGTGCTGACAGAGGAAGAGTAGGGGGTAGGTGCGTTGAGCTCAGGAGCCCCAGGAGCCCCATCCTTCCCAGGCAGGGCTGAGGCCAGCACGTCCTGTCCGCTGGGCAGTGAAGTGTCCGGATGGGCAGCGGTTACCTTGGTTCTGACGAAGGCAGCCAGGGGCCCCTTGCCCAGCTCCGATGAGGTCCTTTCACCGTGGCTGAGAGAGGGGGCCACCATCTGGCCGGTCGTGCGGTCCACGTAGATGAAGTGCACCAGGCCCGGGAAGTCCTCTAGGTAGGTTCAGGCAGAGTCAAGGTGCTGTAAGCCACTGCCAGGGAGGTGCTGTCCCTGACCCAGTTCCCCGGGCTCAGCAGTGGAGCCAGAGGCAGCTGGCCAGGGCTGCCCCTCTCCCAGTTAACCCCTAGGACACTCTCTCCCAGACGCCTCTTTACCTCCAAACCCAAACCCCAGAAAGTCCTAAGATGCAAGTACAATGGATCCCCGACGTTGGCACAGTTAACATGGGGAGCTCTGGATGCAGCAGGAACACGGTGTGTTCATGTTTTATGACTTTCACGAGGGACACATTTAAATTATACACCCGATGAGGCTGGTGGAGAGGAGAGCCACATGGGTGCTGGGTGAGCCTAGCTGACCGCCACCCACACACCTCACCGTGTCTGTTCACCTCTCACCTCGAGAGGCTGGAAGGCTGGGATCAGAACCCCTGGTGAGCAGTGGCTGGTGCTCTGCCATCCCTCCCACCTGCACTCTGGAGACAGATGTTGCCAGGGGCTGGAGACCAGACCCTTCCGAGATTTACATGTAGGTAACGCTGCTTTATACCTCGTTCCAGGGACGATCAATGCTCAGTACAACTAGTGGTCCGTAACAAAAGGGTCTAACAGATCTGGGACGTGGTTTCTAAAACACGTTTGTGCAGGCCTTCTCAGAGCCTCCCTGTTCTGCTGTGACCTGTGACCTCCAAGGAGGAGGACACGGCTCTCACACCGACCCGTCCCCAGCACCTCCACCCCTGGAGGAATGCCCGTCACCACCTTTGCTGGTGGGACACCACCGACATGAGTGAACGCTAAGGCTCTTACGAAGTCACTTTGGGACGCCAGGGGCTGCTGGAATTTCAGCCTTGGGGCGTTCCTGCAGACAGAAACCTGGGACTGCTGCCTGTTTTTCAGAGAAAAGAAACTGAGGCGATGGGATATATAATCTCCATCCCACAGACACAGTCCTTCAGAGAGGGCAGGCGGAGGGACAGGCGGGCAGGGGCGGCTCCCGGGGAGGCGCGGGGCTCAGACGTGAGGATATGACACCATGGTGACGTTCCTCCTGCTCTTCACCAGCAGGAAGTCCTTCCAGTCCATCAGCTTCTCTCTGCGGGAGGGCAGGGAGCGGGGGTGTGAGGACGTGGGCCCCCTCCCACCCCGGCCCCCCAGGGCCGCCCACACTCACTGCATGAGCATCTGGACCTGGTCCTGCAGGTGCCGGGCCAGCTGCGGGCCCCCGCGGCTCGGGGCCGAGCTCAGGAAGCTCAGGCGGTAGATGGCGCAGAGCTGCCGCTTCATCTTCCCGCACAGCTGGAGCAGCCTGGCCGGGAGAGGGGCGTCACAGGGGCAGGGCCTGCGCTGACAGACACAGCGGGGACAGCGCTGCGTCCTGCACGGCCACCCTGCACTGATGGCAGACACGGCTGATGGAGCGCGCCTCACCCTCATGGCCCCCGAGTAGCTTCCTCCTCAGGGTCTCCCAACATGGAGCTCCATGCACCTGGACGCAGTTCGTGGAATTGGGTCCAACGTCATGGCTTATTTCCCCATAAACAGAGGGGTAACGGGTTCGAGGCTGCACTGAAGCAGAGCTGAAGCTGGGCCGGAACCCGGGCAGAGTGTCCCTGGTGTTGGGTCCTCGTGGGCCTGCACCCAGACTCCAGCCAATCTGCTCTCAAGCCTCCCTCCGGCGTCCGCAGCTGCACCCGCTCTCCCAGGGCCCCGTCCCCTCAGAGGCACCTTCCTGAACACTCCCCCTCTGTCCAACCTGCGCCCCTACCCAGACCCCACAACTCACTCCTGCGACGAGGCGGGGTCACTTTTGGAGAAGGCCTTGGTCTTGAACTCCTGCCAGGTGCTCTGCAGGAGGGCAGGGGGAGGGGGCTGGTCAGCTTCCTGGTGGTGTTCCTACAGTGAGGCCAGGCTCCGGGGGCTTCCTCTGGAGGCTTCCTGAGGCCCCCCACCTCCCTGCACCCGCTGCACACCATGCTCTACGCTTGGCAGGTGCTCATTTCAAAAGCACATCCGGTGCCAAGTGTTGGGCCCACTGCCTGGCTGGCACAGACATGCAAACCAATGCTGCCAGGACAGATAAGTCACTCGAGGGGGCGCTGATGCTGAGAGGAGCCTGGGCGTCACCCTGCAGAGGACCCTGCACCTGAGGCAGTGCCACCGCGATGCCGGCGTCACTGAGACGCTGAGCAGCTGCTCCGGCGGAGACTCTGGGCCTGGGTCTGGGCTTCACGGGCTGGGCCTCCTCCAATCCAATACTTCTGCCCAATTCCAGGTCAACTGTGCGCAGCCAGTGACGCGCAGATCCTCCCACTGACCCAGCCTCCACCCCACTTCCTGCTGGGCTCCCCTCCCCCAGGCCCTGTCCCTGTCTCTAAGCCACGGGAGGTGGAGGAGGGGTGAGGGAGGGCAAGTGGCCGTGTGAGACCTGCCACCCAGAGAGGGTGCCGGGCACAGACGGCCTTTCCTGAGTCCTGGGGCAGGCTCTGGCTCCCCAAGTCATCTTGGCCAAGTTGAGGTCTAAGTCCCACAGTTCCCTCCTCAATTATAATCTGTGTTCTGCCAAACGTACTTAAACACGCTCTGAAAATGTCAATGCCGAAGTTTTTGCTACATCTTCCTGACGAGGAGCAAGGACGGCAGCCCCGTGGTGGGTGGAGGGGGACTGACAGCCCTCCGCCGGGGCCCGCCCGTCCCCTCCCCGGAGGCAGGCGTGGGGGCCCGGGCCTCACCTGAAGCTCCTGCCTCCCTCGGGTCTTGACGAACTTGTCCATCCGCTGGCGCAGGTCCCCGAGGAGCGGGTGGGAGCGCAGGGAGCCCCGGGCCTCCGGCCCCTCCCTCAGCTTCTTCTCCAGCAGCGAAAAGCCGTCCAGCAGCTGGTACAGGGCCAGGGCCAGCGGCGCACTGGGGCTCTGGGGGAAGAGGCAGTGGGCAGGGGACGGGCAGCAGGGGCCGGCGCCCAGGCCCGGGCATGGGCACAGGCACGGGCAGGTGGGGCGCCCCTACCTTGGTCAGGATCACCATGTTGATGCCGGGCCACAGGGGCAGGCAGTACATGGTGTGGGGCACCATGGGGCAGTACACCTCTTTCACACTGGCATCCAGGAAAATCCGCCTAGGGCAGGAAGGCTCCGGGGAGCCGGGGATCAGCATCTGGAGTGTGTCTTCTCCTATCTGTGGAGGGAGAGGGGCTGTGGTGGCAGGGGCGGGGGACCCGGCTGGCCTCCTCCCCGTCCTGGATCCACCCACAGGGGCCCATCCGCCATCCTCCCTGTGAGCCACCAGGAGCCGTTTCAGCACCAGGAAGGCCCGCTCTCCCATCCCCGCACTGTGCCCGTTCCAACCTCTGTCTCTCCCTCAGCTTCTCCGGGCCTTTCCGCCCAGAGGCAGGGCTGGATGCCATGCAGGGGTGGTGGGTAGAGAAGAGACAGAAAAGGCAGGAAGAACAGACAAGGGTGGACTGAGGGCAAGAGGCTCCCTCCCCATGTCTTCACAGAGATGAAGGCATTGAAAGTTAAATACGTCTGTCATTTCAACCACCTCAGAGTGCCCACCGGGGGAAACCGAGGCACTGAATGACCACATGAGTGAGACTCCGGGCTCTCGGAGGCCCTAAGAAAGCCTGTGGTGGTAAGAGCTGAGAAGTGGGGAGCCCGTTAGAGATGCCTCCCTGTAAGGAGGCTCTGCAGTCCTAGGATAACGGCGGCTGCGGACACAGCGGCTGCGGTTTGCTAAGTAAGCGACGGCACACGCCATGGGCTCACAGTGCCGACCACGCTGCTGGGGAGGCCTCCAGAGGAGAAAACGCTTAAGGCCAAGAGTAACGAGACGCGTTAGGAAAGGAACAAACATGCACGTAGCGTGTGTGTGTGTGTCTGTGTGACCTGAGAGAGAGCAGTCCTTTTCCATACTTTACTTTTGTCTTTCCCAGCTTTTCTACAATGAATATATTTACATTTTCATCTTAAAAAAACGTTACAAATGGAGTTGGACTTTCACTCTCCAGTGAGGAGTGGGGATTTCTCAGGAGCTGAGGTCTCCCTCCACTCCCCGCCCCCGCCACCCCGGCCTGGGGCTGAGCTGTCCTGGCATCGACAGCCCGGAGGTGGCAGGCGTCACTCAGAGATAAACCTCAGAGTCCCCAAGGATCACTGCAGCATCTAGGTCAGCTGGTACCCCGGGCCATCCCTGTCCCCAAAAACTCACCTGGATCAGGGAATCATCTGTGGGTGGGGTTCCCCCGTCCATCCAGATGGTGCTACCTGCAGGCCACAGGTGATGAAATAACATAAATAATTAGAAACTATAAATAATGGCACAACAGCACACCAGAAGGGCGGGTGGGGCAGGAATGCCCCCGCCCCAGCTACTCGCACACCCCTGGCTGGGGGAGCACTTAGCGTGGGCTGGAGCTGCACTGCCCTTCCCACCCCATCCCAAGCCGCCCAGCGCAGGGAACTCTGCGGTCCCAGGGCCTGGCCTGGGAAGAGACGTGATGCTCCCTCAGAGCCCGGTGCTGGGAGCACCTGCCGGAAGATGCACTTGGCAATGAGGGGGCACGTCCCTCAGCCCCCTCCTCCCCCCTTCTTCTGCCTCTTCAGGCCCCTTCCTGGCTGTAACAGTGACTGGCCACTAGGAGGCAGCACACGGTCCACATTTCCCCATCTGCTTAGTCAATCAGCAAACTTTTACTGAGCACCTACCTACTGTGTGCTGGGAACTGAGCTAGCTGTCCCTCCCCAGGACAGCTCACAAAAACCCATGGAACCCACCACACATTGGAAATGTTGTGTGTGTGTAACAATAGTGTTCTCTCAGTTTACTGCAAACAACTATCATTTATAACCGTGTTTCTCTGGGGGAGGTCTGTTCCTGGGTCTCACACACCGGACTTGACAAATGGACCAGTGCACTGGAGCCCTCGGTAAGCCGTGATTCTGTGCCCTGCGGAACGGCATCAATGACAGCTCCGAGGCTAAAACACGGACCGCCGCCGAGAGAAAGGGGGGGAGGAGAATCTGGAGGAGTGAGGGGAGGGAATGTCAGGGGCCACCCCGGGGGGTGCTTCCCACTGTGCTTTGGGCTCTCAGAGAGGCTGAGAGGACAGCCGTGGGCCTGGCCTCAGAGGAATGTGTGAGCGTAAGTGAACGGGGACACGCCCTCGGGGGTCGGGCTCCCTGCAGCCCATCCCAGGACCCAAAGTTAGGAACTGCTAACCCCGTGGCTTTTAACGGTGGCCGCACACGAGACCTTTTAAAAATCCCGATGCCGAGGCCCCGGAGGAGTCTAATTACATAAAGTAAATGTTTCCTTTATTTCTGTTGTTTACACAGGTCAGACATAAACTATAGAGACTGGATCTTTATATTTTAAATCACTGCGCTTGAAATCAAATGATTACTACTTAATTTTAATTACCTGGTTACTTAGCAATTACAAAAAAGAAAGAGAAAGCAGAGGATATACATATGAGAGAATGAATTTTTAAGTGGAATCAGTGTGTCGTGAACAGTTTAGTGATCACTTGAGTGGCCTGCACAGCCCTGAATTCAAGCTGGAGCCAGAAGGGCGGGCAGGCGGACAGAGGGGTGGCTGCAGACAGAGTCTCGTACTCTAGAAATCTGGGTGTCTGTGCTAGGCCCTTACAAGACCGGGGTCCACTGAACCCCCAGACAGACTCCCCAAGGCTGCCACCTGGCATCTGTCTCCCCCCTCTACGCCCCCTCCCCACCAGGTCTCACCTGAACCCGAACTCCGCTCCCCGGGGGAAGGAGCAGGGGTGAGGTACTCCTCGGGGAGGGAGCTGTCTGTCTCCTGGGGAAGAAGGGGCAGCTTGGCTGAGGGCTCCCCCCTGTGTCCCCCCCCCCCCCCCCCGCAGGCACATGGCACGTACAGTCCCTGTGGAGCTCCGGGTGGGGCCTGCGGAACCAGGGCTCCAGGCCTGCTGCACGGGGATGTTCTGGCTGCTCGGCAGCCTCTGTGGGGAAGGCTGCGACAGGACAGGACACCGGTGAGAGCCTGTCTGCCGGGCTCCTCCCACGGTCCTCCACTCCCAGCTCTTCCCAGGCGGCCATTGGGCGGAGGCACAGGTGCGACCGGCTCCCAGCATGGCCTCCCCTCCCAGGCATGTCTCAGGTCTGGGTGGTCTCGTCTTTCCCCAGAACCACTGCCATCCCCTCACGCTGACACCAAACCACGGGAGAACAGGAGGAGGGGACGGTGGGGGTACACGTACAGAGAGTTCCCCCCCGCGCCAGGCATTGCTGGGCTCTAGTCCCTGCCTCCGTTATTCCTCAAAGCCACCCTGAGAGGTAGATGTCATCGCTGTCCCATGGCACAGAGAAGGCAACTGAGGCTCAGAAGGGGCGAGTACCTGCCCGCCCACATCGCTAATGGGGAAGCAGGGACTACCTGACTCCAGAAAGCTGCACTTTTAACCACGTGCATTCCAGAACTCTCCTTCTAGAAAGCAGCAGGAAAGGCCTGCCCAGCCACCAGCCCAGAACTGAGACTCAGGAACCCCGGCCTCCGCAGCAGCCTGCCGGCCCCCCGCGGACGGGATTTCCTCGCATCCCCGGTGGCCCCCCGCTGCCCAGAGGCTGCCCGAGACCTGAGTGTCATCGCCGTCATCCTCCTGGCTGGGGTAGAGGTCCTGCACCAGCAGGATGAGGGCCAGCAGGTCGGCGGGGCGCAGGGAGCTGGCACTGTGGCTGCAGAGAGAGCAGGCGGCTGGTCAGCACGTGCCCAGCGCCCTGGGGCGCAGTGGACGAGGACAGGGCGGGTTATGGAGATCGGCCGTGGTCCCAGGCCTTGAGGAGTTTACGACTGCGCCAGCTGATTCCCCCCGTTCTGGAGAAAGGCGGTGCAGATAAAAGTCAAACTTGGCTGTGTTAAAAACAACCATCAATGGGAACCACCAGGGACCCGGAAGTTCTAAATTCGGAGTCTGAGACAGGATTCCCGGGAGCAGGACTTGAGAGAGAGACTGGGCTGCAGGGGCTGAGGAATCTAAGAATGTGAGAAGCTGCAGGAGAGAGAGACAGGCGGGTCTCAGAGGTTTTCTTGGCCCGGGAGGTGTGCCTGGCAGACGGGGTGACGGAGGGGCCGGGGCCTGGCCACCAGGGGCGTCCACAGCTGTAGCCCCGCCGGGGAGGGTGTCGCTGTTCTGACCCGTGGGAGAGGGGGGACAGGCCTCCGCACCGGGGCCTCGCTCACCTGGAGTAGAAGGCCAGCAGCTTGGAGTGCACCAGCAGGAAGGCGTGCAGCGCCTCCTCGCCGGCCCGCGCGGGGCTGGCGTTCACGGCCTGGACCACGTGCCGCTCCAGCGCCTCGATGCACAGCTCGCAGAGCTGCGGGTGGATGAGCCGCTCCACGGCCTGGCCCCGCGGGCGGGAGAGGAGAGGAGCCGCGTCACCCGCCGCCCGCCGCCCGCTCCCGCCCGGCCCTGCACGGAGCACAGACGCTTGGGAACAGAACAGGGAGCTCGGACCGGCACGGACCCTGGCTGAGTTTGGGGGGGTCGGCCTGTGCCCTCACTTGTTTGAGGGACCAAAGCCTGGTCTCACAGCGGCACGGCCCCTCTGACCTGACCCTCCCCGGCCCGAGGCCCCGCGCCCGCGTCACCTCCACGGCGAAGCCCTGCTCCCGCTCGCGCAGGCGGCCGTGGGTGCGCAGCAGGCTCTGGAAGTGCTCCCACACCTGGACGCGCTGCTCCACGTCCGGGGGCCGCAGCCTGGGGAGAGCACGGAGGGCATGAGCAAGCTGGTGTCCCCTCTGCAGCCGCGGGGCGCAGTCCTGGAGCCCTGGAGCTCCTGTGACCCGACGAGTGACAGGCAGAGCCGAGAAGCACGGAGGCCGTGCTGGGGACCATGGCCCGGGCGGGGAGAGGGGTGCTGGGCAGGAACCGGGGTGGCGCCTGAGAAAGTCGCTGCCTTTCCCGGCTCTCACACGCAGAGGTGTCAGGACCCGGGGCTAGAGGCCCAGAGAAGCGCAGGGAGGAGCCGGGGGCACGGTGTGCACGCTGTCCGGACTCAGGAGGGCGCTGAGCAAACGCCTGGGCGGACCGGCCGCAGGGGGACTCACTCCTTCCGGATGAGCTGGCCGTCCGCGGTGACCAGCCCGAAGTGCACCTCGAACAGGAACTTGAGCACCCGCAGCTTCTGCCGCAGGTCCCCCTCGGCCTCCGAGCGGTCGCCGTTGATGGCGATGAACAGGCATTCTCCGAACTGCGGGCATAGCCGGCTGACGTCAGCCAGCCCCAGGGGGCGCCCCTCACCTGCCCGGACCCCTGGGAACAGCGAGGGGACGATCAGGTGCAGGGGAGTACTGATAAGACCGCCCGCGGGGTCAGGGAAGGGGAACCTGGGCCCCGGGGCCTCACGCTCACCAGGTGAAGGACGTAGAGGGAGCTGCCGTTCTCCGTGGAGAAGCAGGTGTACGTGTCGGAGAGCTTCTCCAGCATCGTCATGGAGGAGATGATGACCGGGGCCAGGAGGGTGCTGAGCTGGTCCTCCAGGGCAGGGAGCTGCGAGAGGGGAGAAGACCCTGCTCCAGTGTGCCAGACACGGAGACAGAGAAATGGCCAGAGCAGGCCTGGCCACCAGGGGTGTCACTGTTCTGATCTGAGGGGGCGGAAAGACACTGCCTCCGAACCTGGCTGCGGTTAGGAAGGCTGGGAAGGGCTGGCCCTGAAGGTGGAAGGGAATGCGAAGGGAGGCGGCCATGTTTCCAGTGTGCAGTACGTGGGCATCTAGTTGGAGAGCTGGCCAACGGGAGGAGCACTGGCGGCACGGAGCACAGCCGTGCCTCTGCCGCGGAGGGCCTGCTGGGGGCGATGCAGCTGAGGAAAGTGGTCAGAGAGCAGGCACAGACCCAGGGGCGAACATGTTCACTACTGCATCATTCACAGCAGCCGGCAACTGGGGGACAGGGAAGTGTCCAGTGCCAGAGGGACATTAAATAAATAACAGCTCGTCTAAATGATGGAAGAATAGACAGCCACTTATAGTGGAGTGTTTCAACGATGTGGAACATTCCTCTGATACAATGTTACGTTTAAAACAAAACAAAACAGTGTGGTCCGACTGGTTGAGCATCCACCCATAAAACGGGAGGTCACGGTTCGATTCCCTGTCCGGCCACACGCCAGGGTTGTAGACTAGATCCCTAGTAGGGGACGTGCAGGAGGCAGCGAAAATTCTCTCTCGTTACTGATGATTCTCTCTCTCCCTCTCCCTGCCTCACTCTGAAATCAATAACATATATATATATATATATATATATATATATATATATTAAAAAGGTGTGAATATTCTGTATCTTAAACTGTATAAAAAGCACTAAAATATTATAAAAGTCAACACTGTTAAATTTATTACTTCTGAACAGAGGGTCCTGTGAGTGATTCTTCCTACTTTTTATATAATTCTCTTCCCCTGTTTCCACAACAAGCATAATTTTACTTTCATAAGCTCTCCCCCCACTCATTCTCTCTGCAATCCCAACTAAGAAACAAAACAAAAAAGAGAAGGACACATTAGTAGAGAATCTGTGAATAGAATGGGATAAGGCCAGTGGAAGGACCCCAGCTGAAATTCACACTGGAACCCAAGGAAGGGAGGAACACGCTGGCCGGCCCCAGCTGATGCCGGATCCGACTGCAATGTGGAGAAGGCAGGGTCCTGACCCGGAGCTGGTGAGATCTACAAGGAGCTAAGGAAGCCCTCGCCAGGAGAAGCGAAACAGGTCGCTGGCTAGAGGCTGTGGGCAGCATTAACATATGAGCTGGGCGCAGTGCGCGGCTGATTTTCTCCCGATGTTCTCCACATCAGGAGCCAAGGTCTGTGCCCAGCGGCTGCAGAACCTGCCGGTGAAGCTTAGACAGTGGCTGCTTCTCATCATTCAGGTCCCAACTCAGACAGCCTCTCACCCAACCACGCCCAGGCCACCCTGTCCCAGTCACTCCCCGTCTCACACCTGGTTTAAGCGTTTCTGACCATCCATCACTCCCTGAACTCATCGTGCTTCCTTGGTTCACTGTATGTCATCCCTTTTTGGCCTCTAAGACCGTGAGAGCAAGGTCTCATTCACTGCTCTACTTCCAGAGACCGGCACATAAGAGGTTCTCAATTCATATTTGTCTGAATATCCTTCCAGATAGGCAAATGTTGAATTATTCATGTGCCACAATTTTCTAGAACTGTCATGAATGAATTATGTTAATAGGAAAGTCACTTAAAAAATCTAGAGTGTGTATAGCAATTCATGTTAAAAATAGTAGTTTTTTCTGCAGGTGTAGCCAGAATTTTTGGGAGGAGTTAAAAATCTTTGGTGTAGCTGAGTGTAAAGGGACATTCTCATACTAGTTGGTAGAATTACAGAATAGTACACCCTCTTTGAATGGTTTCTGTTCTTAGGAATCTATCCCAAGGAAGTAGTAAAGACGTGAGGAAAAATTCAAGCACAAGTTCTTTCATTAATAGCTACAGAAAACTACAAGTGCTATGCAAGCCAGCATTGAGGAAATAGTTAAATAAATGCATGCATTTATTCATACGCAGGAATATGTTTCCAAGAACATTTATGCTTTTGAGAATATTTAACAAAATGGAATAAGCTTTAGATATGATGGTAAGTAAAAAAAAAAAACAGAAAATAAAACTGTAAATATGGCATGATCCCAACTATATATAAGATCTGCTAAGCCACACCGCCTGGCTGCTGTGGCTCAGTAGACTGAGCATTGTCCCATGCACCGACAAGTTGCTAGTTCAGTTCCCAGTCAGGGCCCATGTCTGGGTTGCGGGCTCAATCCCCAGTGTGGGGCCTGCAGGAGGCAGCTGATCAGTGTTATCTTTCATCATTGATGTTTCTCTGAGGTCAATGAAAATATATTGAAATAAGTAAAGTAAATAAAATGTAGAGTGGGAAATATATGAATAAAAATAATAATCTGAGTTTTAAAATTGAATGTTCATATGCAAAAAAGAAAGTTACTTTAATGTATACCTGATACCATATTAAAAAAATTCAAAATGGATCATTAGACCTAATATAGAACCTAAAACTATAAAATTTCTGGAAGAAAATACCAGGAGAACTCTTTGTGATCTTAGGTTGGGCAAAGATTTCTTAGATATGCATCAAAAGCATGATCCATAAAAGCAAAAAAAAAAAAAAAAAAAGATAAATTTAAATTATCAAAATGGATGCAAAGATAAGACACAAATTGGAAGAAAATACCTACAAAATATCTATCTCCTTGGATTTACATCCACAATACATTAAGAAACTCTCAAAACTCAATAAAAATAACAATCAACCCAATAAACTGGCAATAGATTTGTACAGTTCATTAAAGAAGATATAAGAATGGCCAATAAGCACATGAAAAGATACACAAAATCATTAGTCATTAAGAAAATGAAAATTAACACACAACGAGATTCTGTCATGAACAAATTACATTAATAGAAAAGTCACTTTCTATCAGATACCGATCAGAGTGACCCAATACATTTACAAAGAGTGACCACAGAGGGGCCAGCAGGCTACCGAGGACATGGAAGTCTCCCATTCTACCAGGGGACTGTTAAATGGCACAACCTCGTGAGGAAAGCTGGGCGGCAGCCTCTTAAAAAGTTCAAGATGCACCTACACGATCCAGCCACACTCCCCTAGGGATTTCCCTGACGAGCCAGTGAAAGCTGCTCTATGTGGAAGTAAAAACTGGAAATATCCCGCATGCTGCTCCCACCAGCAGGTACGTGGCTGAACCACCTGTGGCTCAGGGTGAGAACAGACCACGGCTCAGCCGTGGAAGGGGGAGAACTGCTGAGACACACACAGTGCAAGAGGGGCGGAGTCTCATCAGGCCGCGTGAAGGAAGCCAGACCAGACCAAACCAAAACCAAAACCAAACCCAAACCCAGCCTGGTATCTACTGCAAGATTTCATCATAAAGGTCTACAAATACAAACTGGGCTATTATGTCGGAGAGTGGATCTGTGGTTGGCCTAGAGGGGAGAGGTGAAGGAAGCTCACAAATTTGGGGGATGGTGGATATTGTCCATTTTATTGATTGGATGGAATTGCAGACACGTACATATTAAAGTATATCTGACTGTACACTTTATGTTCAGATTATAGTATGTCAATTATACCTTAATATAGCTGTCATAAAAAGTAACGTGTTAAGATGATGCTAAACTTTTTAAGTAAAGAAAAGGGTAAGATCAAGTTTCCCTGCTATGTGATTACAATTCTACATCCTCCTGCCCTCACTTAGCCAGTCAGCTCTGGGGGAAAGAAGGGGTGGGGGATGTGAAGACACACAGTCTCTGGCCCAGCCCTGGAGGGTGGACAGGTTCTCCTGCCTCCTGTCCTCCTGGTAGTTCTGTTTTGTCCCCTCCAGTCCATCCCACACTCACCTCCTCTCCCTCGTACTCCGACTGCCCAAACTTCAGACGCAGACTCTCTTCAAACTCCGTGTCTGTCCAGTAGAAGAGGACCTCTGCTCCCTCTGTGGCCACCAAGACGCACTTCATCTGCCGGGGAGAAGCAAGGTCAAGGTTGCCTCCCGGCCCCCTCATCCTTAAGCTTGGCCTGAGTGATGAAGAGGATCGTGACCCCAGCAAACATCTACTGAGCCCATTCTGTGCACCGGGCACCATGGCCGGGGCCTCCTGCTGTTCTTTCTTCACATCCTCTCAGCCACCTGCTGACAGACACCTTCCGCCAAAACCCGTTTGGCTCAGGGGATAGAGTGTCGGTCTGCAGACTGAAGGGTTCCGGGTTCGATTCCGGTCAAGGGCATGTACATTGGTTGTGGGCACATCCCTGGTGGGGGGTGTGCAGGACCTCTCAGGCTGGTGGGTGCAGCTCAGAACCCCAGAGAGGAACTTCAAACCTCCTCATGCACCGCAGTGTGCTAAGACATGACACGGGTTAGGAAGGAAGCTCTGAGTTTTCCATGAGTGGAGGTCCAGCTTCCTTAATAGGATCATAGCATCTCGAGGTCTCAGACTCTTTCTCTACGTAGGATCCCCTATCTGAGCAGCTTAGGGGTCCTTACTGAATTCCCTCCAAATTTCCAGTTGGTTTATCAACTCTAACGCAGAGCACCTGGCCTCAAGGGGTTTCCAGCCCATCCCCACGGAATCGCTAAGCACCAGGTAGGGACTGCGAGAACACAGAGTGCGAAGAGGTTGCTTGGATGAGGGCAGCTGGACCTGGAAGAGGCGCGGGGACTCCCAGGCCAGCCTGATGTGGGGTTGGGGTACGGTGAGCTATGGAATCAAGGCTGTGGTCCACAGCACAGAGCCCCTGTAGGCTGGTAAGGCTGTGGGAAAGGCTGTGCTGGCCATCGATGGGTGAGGTCAGGTTATGGAGGCAGGTGCCCTGGTGTGGGGAAATGAGGCCAGGAGAAGTGTAGCCTAGAGACACAGCAGCAGACCCTGATGACTGCCTGGATGCAAGGGAGGACGGAGAGAGTAGGCAAAGGTGAATTCAGGGGCTGAGGAGAGGGCTCTGCAGAGCCTGGGAGAACTCAATCACTGCCTGCCTCACTCTGTCCAGCTTCCTCAGCCTCAGAGCGAGTGCTGCCCCCCTCTGGCTACCCCAGCTATGGCAGAATTATCTACCTTGGTACGGAGCACGGCAGAGCTTCCAGTCAGCCAGAGGTTCAGAAAGGGCTGCCGTGGACAGACCCTGCGACCAGCTCATAACGTTCTGGGCCCTGCAAATGCTTAAAACAGAGAGGTCACGAGGGCAAGCAGTTCTGCCTGTCCTAGTTCCTGGGAGTGGACAAGGTGGTGAAGGACTGGGAGGTCACAGCTCTGGCTCTGGCTCTGCGGCAGTCTGCTCAGAACATTTCCCACAGCCAGGTGTCTGAGTGCCCTTGAAAATTAAAACCGGACATATAGCAGGTGCCCCACAAACATTAATTCCCACCTACAGTTTCCTCCCAAGCACTCTCATTTCTCTGTGGATCCTGCAGAGCCACGTGTGGTCAGCAAACCCACTCCAGTTCCAGGAAAAAGGAACCTGACACCTGGTTCTCGTTTTGGCTTTGCCAGGGCCCTTAAATGTTCCAGGGCCTCAGACTCCCTGAGGAAGGGAGAACACCTTGCTGCACTTCCCTACGAGGTTGTAGTGCGAGTGGGGGAGTCGCGTGGCAGGAGGGCCCTTACAAGGAGGTGTGTGGGGAGGTTGTCTTTATTCTTATTCCCCAGGTGCCCTTCATCAAACAATAGGATGAACTAAATGGGTTGTAGATCATTCACATTTTGATGGTAAAAGGCGGGGGTATTATAAAGCTTTAGCTTAATTAGGATGAGGCAAGAAAGGGCTTTTAGAGGCTCAGCATTTTTTTTTTTTTTTTTTTTTTTTTTTTGCAACAGAACTGGGACTTGCTGCTACATCACAGGCATGCCTGGGCTTCATGCCGCATTCCCAGGAGCACGGGAATGTTTCTTGGTGAACATTAAGTTCTACTTTTGTTCTTCCAAAAGGCGGATAAGAGGCCCTCCCCGGTGTCATTCCCTGTTCTCTCTCCCCTGCGCTCAGGAGGGAACACGGGCCTCGATGGGACTCTGGCCCGCGCCCCGCGCCCCTCAGCCCGGGGCCCATCTCACATCCACCCAGCAAGCGGCCGCCTGCAGCGCGGTCTGGGCCGGCCCGGCGCCGCCGGGCAGGGGGGCCGGGGGCCGGGAGGGGGAGCCCGCGGGGCTCCCGCCCCGCAGCTTCCCATCGGCCCCGCACTCTCCAGTTCGGGCAGCAGAGTCACCCCCAGAGCCCCTCGCACCTCGCAGCTACCCTGGGAAGAAGGCCGGGCTGGTGGAACCCGCCCACTCCGTGGCTGCAGAAACTTTGGCTCCGAGGAGTGCAGCGACGGGCTCCCGGCCACACGGGCGGGCGGGCGGGCTGGCGAGGCGGGGACGGGGCCCGCTCCCCTCTTCCGGGGGCCGCGCTCCCGAGGCAGGTCCGCCGCCCACGGAGCGGGCAGCCGAGGGCCGCGCCGGGACGGTCCGAGGGGCCCCCACGAGTCAGAGCGCCGCTCAGCCGGCCCCGCCCCGGGCGCGCTTCCGGGTGGGACCACGTGACCGCCCACGTGACCACCTGCCCGGCCGCTCTGTGGGCGGTGCCGCTGCCCTGGGCGGGCTGCTCCGCGCTGGGAGCGCCGGCCCCTGCAGACCCCGTCCCCTCCCTGTTGTCCTGGAGCAAGGAGATGAGGCTCCAAGGATTGGGAGCCTCGCCCACAGCCCCCAGCGCTGCGCCCCGCACTGTGCTAAGCCCTCCCCCTGGCCTCAGTCCCTGCGATGCCCCATGGAGGGCCTAGGAACAGCCCCATTTAGCTTCCTGTCACCCGAGCGGAAACTGAGGCCTAGAGATAACCACTTGCAGAGGGGCCCCGTTTGGGTGAGAACCAGGTTCCTGATTCCAAGCCGGTCCTTTCCCACTGACGGGCTTTACTTCTCAGCAAGAGCCGCTGGTTCCCTGGCCTCCTGGGGAGGGACCCCCTGCAGGAGGGCCCAGCTGCCCCCCAGTGCCAGCCCCGGAATTTCTTAGTCCATGGGGGTGGGAGGGAGACAGGATTTCACATTAGCGACTTTGTTTTGCACCCGAGTTTGCAAGATTTTCTTAAATTATGTGTGTACTGCCAAAGCCGATTTTGCTCAGTGGATAGAGCTTCAGCCTGCGGACTGAAGGGTCCCAGGTTCGATTCTGGTCAAGGGCATGTACCTTGGTTGTGGGCACATCCCCAGCAGGGGGTGTGCAGGAGGCAGCTGGTCGATGACTCTCTCTCATTGATGTTTCTAACATTCTATCTCTCTCCCTTCCTCTCTGTAAAAGATCAATAAAATATATTTTTTTAAAAATTGTGTGTGTACTGGAGGTGGGGAGAGCTGATAGAGGTTATGGAAGGTACTACATCCCCGCCCAAGTCACCCCTCAGTGTCCTGGAGTCTCGTAGGAGCTTTGAGTACAGCCCAATAGGGGATGACTTTGAGGGAATGTGTAGGACACAGCAGATAGAGCACACCCCCTCTGCCCCTCCCCGCCAAAGGCAGGGGCCAAGAATTAATGCCTCCACCCCTTCCTCCATTCACTGCCATCCCTGGCAGCCCACCTCAGGGCCCAAAAATCCCCCATCTACAGCACAGAGCCCCATCGCAGGCATCTGTCTCCGGTCCATAGTCGAGATCTTCGGGCTGTGCACTCCTTCTTCTGATATTTCCACTCACCATGTTTCTCTTTTGTGTCAAACCCTTCATAAGCAAGCATTTCAGTGATTGAATACATTTCATCAAGTAGATATGCTATTTATTCTCCACCCCCCCTCCCTCTAGTCAATTTCCCATCTGCCTTATATGAGGGCTCCAATTTCTCTACGTGTTCGCCAAAGCTTGTTGTCGTTTTTTTAACTTAGCCATCCTCAAGGGTGTGAAGTGGCATCTCATGATTTTTATTTGTATTTCTCTAATGCTAATGACATTCAGCATCTATTCATGTGCATTGCAGCAATTTATATGTCTTCTTTGGAAAAATGTCTATTTAAATCCATTGCTCATTTTAAAAATTGGGTTAATACTCTTTTTATTATTAGTTGTAAGAGTTCTTTATATATTCCAGATACAAGTCCTTTATTTGATTTATGATTTGCAAAAATTTTCTCCCATTATGTGTTTTTTTTTAAATGTTTATTGTTGCAAGTATTACATATGTACCCCCTTTTTCTCCATTGACCTCTTCTAACCTGCCCCCATCACCCACCCCAGGCCTTCACCACCCTATTGTCTCTGCCAGTGGACTATGAATATATGCATACAAGTTCTTTAGTTGACCTCTTCCTATCCACTCACCCACCCCCACTTTCCCTCTGAGATCCTTCAGTCTGTTCCATGCTTCTATGTCTCTGGATCTATTTTGTTCATCAGTTTATCTTGTTCACTAGATTTCCCATATGAGTGAAATCATGTGATACTTGTCTTTCTCTGACTGACTTATTTCGCTTAGCATGATACTTTCCAGGTCTCTCTATGCTATCTCAAAGGGTAAGAGTTCCTTCTTTTTTTTTTTTTACTGCTGCATAGTATTCCATGGTATATATGTACCACAGCTTTTTTTTATCCATTCATCTACTGATGGGCACTTGGGCTGTTTCCAGATTTTATTTTATTTAAAAAAATATATATTTTATTGATTTTTTACAGAGAGGAAGGAAGAGGGAGAGAGAGTTAGAAACGTTGATGAGAAAGAAACATCGACCAGCAACCAATGTACATGCCCTTGACCGGAATCGAACCTGGGACCTTTCAGTCCGCAGACCGACGCTCTACCACTGAGCCAAACCGGTTTTGGCTGTTTTCAGATTTTAGCTATTGTAAATTGTGCTGGTGTGAGCATAGGGGTGCATAAATTCTTTCTGATTGGTATTTTGGGGATTCTTTGGGTATATTCCTAGGAGTGGGATCAAATGGCAATTCCATACTTAATTTTTTGAGGAGACTGCATATTGTTTTCCATAATGGGTGCACCAGTCTGC